GACGGTAGTCACAAACTGGTGAGGGTACCAATTTTGACTGCTTGTTGACTAATAACTGTATTTCTCTTCAACTGTTCGTTGATTATTGTTGTTAGATATCTCATTCAACAGCACTTAAAAATTAACACCAGTCACATAAATATGAATTTATGAGTCCACCAGCTTTTGAAATTGGCACCCTCACAATTTCCAGTTGGGACAACTGCCGTTTTCCCCCCGGTGCTCTTCAAATATTTTTCACACTGCTCTGAAACAAATGTTCTTTGAACCATGGTTAAGCCGAGTGGGCACTTTCTTTGTGGAAAAGTGCTTAATAAGGGAAATGTATTATTATTAATATGGTCTATTATACAGCCGAGTAATAAACACAAAAAGTCAGTGTTAAAGATGAAAACCATAACTCTACAGGGAGACCAAAAATGGAGGCGGCAAACATTGGCTCTTCGGTTTCGATCATCATTAATATTTTATACTACAACAAAGCATTACATTGGTATGGGCGTGGGGACATTGCGGAAGGGAAATCAATAAGGGTGCCCAGAATGTTCACATACGAAAGTAATCCATCTCGACTTATGAAACAAGCATTTTCGTTCCTTTCTTCTTTTCTTACAACTAGAAACGGAGATAATTATCTGACTACAGTAATCATACACTGATAAAATGAAGCATTTAGAAACAAGTAATCCTGGGATGACAGAAAAGCTTTTACCCTTGATTTTACCCAAGTTCCGCACCCCCCGTTTGAATTCTGCTATATTATCTAGTAAAACAACATAGTACACCATGTTTTCATGATATCACACGGGTATCTTAGGAGAATTAAAAACAAAAGCACATATCTAGCTAAACCACGTGTGTAATAACCGTACCCGCTTAGCATAATATTTACAAATACATGGAGTCACACATCCATACACATACAGACGTGTGCACACACACTCTCTTTCTCTCTCTCTCTCTCTCTCTCTCTCTCTCTCTCTCACACACACACACACACACACACACACACACACACACACACACACCACACCACACACACACACACACACATCCATCAATCCATCCCCCCCCGGACACACACACACACACAAAGTTAGAGAATACAACTACTACAATCACGAGGCCCACCCCTGGAAGCCCTTCCTGTAACAAAACTATTTAACTTTAAGCCCACAAATACACACACACTGCGCGGAAACTGCACGCACGTGCGTGAGATCTCTAGAGACGGCCTCTCACAGTTAGCGCAGACTTGTTGACCCCGACCCAGAGAAGGATATCATGTGGTCCTGAGCACGGGTCGAAGACAAAAAATACCCCAACCAAAACAAACGACAACCAAAAACAAAAGACAGCCAAAACAAAAGCCCACCAATTCGCACTCCAGAAACAGAATCCCCAAACAAGCACAAAAAATAACATAAAAACGAAAAACAAAACTAAAAAAAAAAGATAGAAAGAAAATACGAAGGTCAACACTGAGGGGCAGAGCCATATGGTCATTACAACAATAGAAAAAGAGATATCGGGGTCAATAACGAAGCACAACACACGTTAATGTAACGCGAGGCATTATGAAACAGCGGGGGAAAACCCCAAACTCCCGGCCCCATCTCCATACCTTCAGCCAAAATTTAAGGTTTCTGTCTACCACGTCTTCATTTTACTGTTCTCCAAGTGTATGGTTTTAGGCTAATCTTCATTTGACCCACTTCTACAGTATTCAATTCTCTCTCTCTCTCTCTCTCTCTCTCTCTCTCTCTCTCTCTCTCTCTCTCTCTCTCTCTCTCTCTCTCAAGTCAAAGTAAACAAATTAAATCATACCGTGGCACACAAGCTAGTAAAGGGAGGCGCAGTTCGTCTCTCGCAGCGTTCGATACAACATTTCACTTGATATGTTCTCGTGAAAACGACTTTAGTTTAAAAAACGAGTATCTCCTTAGACCCGCAGCAAGACACACCCCCTCCCCCAAACCACCTTTCAATTTTTTTTTAAAGATACAGATAAACATGTAGATAACTAAGTATCTACCCCGAAGTCAAAACACAAAGACCAGCCTGACTATTGAATGAGTGCTCTATCAGGTTTCTTCTTCGCATCGCTCCAAGGACGAGTATCTCACGTG